ATATTATTTATAATATTTCATTTAGTTATTTAGAAAATATTTTATAGTAACTAGTTTGTATTATTAAATACATATACTGAGATATATATGCTATTCTTTTAGTACATAGATTACATTTTAATGCAGCAGTAAAGAAAACAAGCATACATGAGTGAAATGACACAGTGTATTTTGTAGTTAAAATATATAGGTATTGAGGAATGCAACTGAAAGAAGTTAAGCAAATAGCTAGTGTGGATGTTCTGTTTCAGATGGGTATGCGACGACATGCTCAATTCATAGCTCGAACAGTCATGGTTCAGGATAACAATGTAGAAAGAGCTTCTCGCTTATTGAATAATATATTAGGAAAAGAGGGCCTTTTGGAGCAGTACAGACGTACTAGATATTATGAAAAACCCACACAAACAAGGAGAAGGATTAATTTTGAAAAATGTAAAGCAATTTACTCAGAGGACATGACTAGAAAAGTTAAATTTATTTTAAGAAAGAATAGAACAGATCCATATCCTGGAGCTTCGTAAACCAAAGATCAAACAATATTCTACACCTAAAATACAGTAGTAAAATATTTGTATTTTATCTGTATTCTGTACAAATGTCAAAAAATATATATGTATTAAAAAAATTAATGTGTTTTGTACAATAAAGTACTATTTACTACAATAACATTAATAGCTTTTATTAAGATACAGGAATTGAGAGTGTATACAATAAAAATTAACAGTAGATTATAAGATGAATAAGTTAGTTATGTTATTTGCATATTATAATAGGAAAAACTAGGCAATATGTGGAAGTATTACATTTTATTCCTGAAAATTACTAAATGTAGAAATAAAATTCTTTCTTAGCATTTTGTTATCTTCTGTTATCTTTTGTATATACAGTTACTCACAAAATTGAGATGTTGGTAATGAAAATACCAGTCTTAGATTTTCTACTATTTCAAACGTAACTTCAATTGTTAGAAAAATAGCTTCTGGAAGGAAAGAAACTGACATTTCCGTACGAAAATTAATAATAAATTTATATTGTGCTGGAAAAAGTTTTCGTGAGGTCGGTACTATCGATCTCATAATATCAATAATGTTGTAATAAGATTACAACATTAGTACTGGTTTGAATTGGAATGAAACGTAATTATAAAATTACGAATAAGAAAGTAACGTAATTGTTTATGAGCAAATGATTTATTAGTACAGTATACCCAATATATGTGTGTATCTTTATATGCATATTTAACAAAAGAGGATTTTTTACATCTGTCGATTTTACCATCTTTGATGATTAGATTGTACGTAATTCTTAAACTCACCGTTTTTTTACACGATCGGTATTTCAGAACGTTGGACAGAAAGATACATTAGGTGGAAGGTCTCTGTCTATCCTCTAAGTACCTGGTCTGTGGTTGCATGCTCATAATTCAGAATTACACTTCGTGCAGTGGCGCCACCATTTGAATTACTTCAATCCTCAGTTTCGACGGTGCTTCGTTGGTAAGTTTTACAGTTTCTAAATCAATCGAAAGATATGTAATATTTTTGGCAAATTCTTTCAAACAATTGACGTATCAGTGTAATCAATAAATCAATAAATGTAAATAAAACTGTACAGTTCCATTTAAAAAAAAAGAAGGGTGCATTTGCATTTTTTGTTACGCGCATTATTGCACTTATGAAAAGTAGAATTTTCTTTACCGTTGAACTTTCTCCTCTACAATTTTTCTCTCAATTTTTTCAAACTCGAAGTATAACACGTCCCAAATGCATGACTCACTCTGCATGAAACGTAATTAACGTTTGATGTAAGGAAGAGAAGAAGAAAGTACGAATGAGGAAAGAATTGATTTATAAGTTGAACGTAATAGTTCGACTTGTTTACCGCGAAAATTTTCTCGCGGTTCTATATTCACCGGCAGAATACATACTCGGTATTCAATCGGGATTGAAAATAAACGCGGAAGAGCAGTGAAACTATGCATATTAACTCGAAATATACATACTTTTGTATACCTACATACTTTCTTCCGAGGAAACGTTCTCAGGGACACAAACGAAATTCCGATGCAGGATTTTAATTGGCCTAAATCTAAAATCGATGTCTAATATAGTTTTTGAACTATAGTTTGCAATCTTGATTATTTATTATTATCATTTTTTAGCAGAACGAGAGTCAAGTGACTTTATCGTGTAAAAGTGAATCATAGAATTTTTTCAAGTTAGTGTAGATATTAGATGTAACATAATTTTTGTTATATTGTACAATATTACATAAAATTTCTTAAAACACTCTCAATTTTTTTAGCTCTTTCCAATTTTATTGCAATGTTTTGGTCCTAGTTTGGTCTATTTAAATGAAAAGTGAAAAGTAAGTAATCTCAACGTTTTTATACTCAAAATGATAAGTAAAATTAGACCATCCATGAGACAATTATAAATTTTCCTTAAAGTAGAACGTAACTGTATTTTACAAGTATATAGGTTTCCTGCAAAAATGTAGTCGTAAGAAGATAAGGGGCGCAGTATTTTTTCCAGCAATTTTCCTTATCTTTACTTATGAAATAGACATAGTCCAGGAGAATTTTTAAATTTTTCGTATATACTTTACGCCTAATTTAGTAAACTGATCTCCATTTCACATATACAACTTTTGTAACCTGTAACATTTTGCATAACGTTTTCCCTTTAATATTTCGACGATTTTTGGCGCAAAAATTGAAGCTTTTCAAATTTTGAAAAATAGTTGAACTTATGAAACGGAAGCAAAATGCAGTTTAGGAAGAAACATCTTACGTGGTACGAGGAACTTACTGAAAAGTAATATGTAAAAGTTACAAATTTCAAATTAAATTTTAAGTAATGAAAAATGGTGGAAAATGAAAGCTGTGAATGAAACAGACGTGGGGACGATGATTCGTCTGTAGACTTTTGACTGTGATTATTTTCCTCTTTTTCCCCCATGTTGGAAAACTTGGCACCACTTTCCATTCGTTTCTGCTATCTATTCAATTTTCGCCAAGTTGGCGAACTCGTTGCCAAGAAAACCGACGAAACGTTTTGTCTTTTCCCGGGCTTCAGCGTGCGAAGCAGAAAACACGAACGAAGGCGGTGGAGTTTGTGAAAAAATAATTTAGTAGGATTCTCTTTGCGAAGAAAAGCAAAACGTTGAATATTTTCACCGTAAAGGTGGCAAATTTTTCAAACAGTTTTTTTTCAGAAGAAAAATTGACGGGAACGTGACGAGCACTGATCGCTGTCTTAGCCCCTTGAATGTTACACGGTAGTGTCGTATAAATTTTCTCTCTTGAGAAACCACCGAGAATTCTCTTTCAATTTTCTTTATGTTTCAACTAATTTTGCAATAATTTTTTCGTTTGGGAAACAGTAAGAGTTTCTAGCAACAACTATTTATTTCCTTTTTTGGTGAAGTCGAACGAGGGGGCTCCAACGGTTTTTCGGAGCAACGCGGGATACGACGCGGAGGGGACACTCTGGAAATAGCCGTCAAGCGAGACGGACACCCAAGCATTTAGCAGTCGCTTATCACTATACTTTAATACATTTTTGGTTAATACCCTATGCTGTGTTAAATTTACTTAAGTTGTGCTGACAAATCCTATACTCAAAAATAGGTGTAATTTACTACGTCCGTGTCACAAATCTTTCACTAATATTAAGTCGGAATATCATAAAATAAATAAAATAACATCTCATACAAATATCATAGAATCATAATAATAAAAACTTATAAGAATTGTGTCGATGGTCTATTACGCTTTTTGTAATACAGCATATTCTCCACAAGTGTCAGACCGCAAGGAAGCTAAACCTGACACTTGTAGAGTCAGGGATTACGTTTTCGAGCCTCACGCCCGCCTTTGTAGTTTGCCGAACGTAGACAAGGACAGCGAATAAAAGATAAGCATGAAACGTGAGTCGAGGCAACCAAGTGATTTAAATATCAACATTTTTAATTTTACGTCTTTTTATCCCGAAATTTTTCTTAACATATTGATGAGATTTTTCTGATGAAAATGACATAAAACACGACATAATTT